TTTTTTGTTTGAGACAGGGTTTCTCTGTAGCTTTGTAGCCTGTCCTGGAACTAGCTCTTGTAGACCAGGCTGGTCTCGAACTCACAGAGATCCACCTGCCTCTGCCTCCCGAGTGCTGGGATTAAAGGCGTGTGCCACCACCACCCGGCTTCAGGGTTCCTGTTTCACAGAAGAAACTGCCTGACATTCTATAGGACACAGAAAAATGCAACTGATGAACTTTACCAGTATAAGGCAGTACAGATCTTCAAATTTCCTGCTTCACTGAAAAGTTTGCCAGGTATTGTGGGCCTATAGGCTGAGGATGGATGTTCCAATGGTACAGGAAAACTTTGGGTGACTATCTAGACAGCGAGATATCTCTGTCATTTCTAGATCTTTGGAAATTGCTTACAATGCACTTCCTGTTTACTTAGATAATATTATATCCTTCTGGAGTCTTTGATGGAGTTGAAGACAGTTATAATTTTCCTTAGTTATAATAAAAGATAAATAACAAAGAAAACATTAGATTCACAAAGATAATACAGATGACAGAGTATTTAATTTTGCCTAATACCAATAGACTAAATATTATAACTGTAATTCTTGCTTGATAACTGTTTTGTTTATTTAATTTTACTATGTTAAAGTTAACATGGGTTAATTTAATAGTTAGAGCTAGCCAGTAAGAAGCCTAAGACCATTTTAACTTATACTAAGCCTCGGACAGAGTGATTATTTCTTTTTTTTTTTTTTTTTTTTTGATTTTTCGAGACAGGGTTTCTCCGTAGCTTTTGGTTCCTGTCCTGGAACTAGCTCTTGTAGACCAGGCTGGCCTCGAACTCCCAGAGATCTGCCTGCCTCTGCCTCCCAAGTGCTGGGATTAAAGGCGTGCGCCACCACCGCCCGGCCAGAGTGATTATTTCTTAAGTGGCTGCAGGAACTAGTTAGTGGGGACCTGGTGGGTGCAGAGAAGCCAGCCTGATGGGATCAGAGGGATGGAGAACACTTCCAGCTACAACCTGGTCTACAGAGTAAGTTCCAGGACAGCGAGCTACACAGAGAAACTGTCTCGAAAACAAAAACAAAACAAAAACCCCATTGTTCTTGAGGCCATTATCACGACTACAGGCATAAAATACTGGGGAGGCATGCACGAATACAAAATGTGCCCTGCTTCAGAGTCTTCTTTGGGCACACACACACACACTCACACGTATGCACACGCGCGTATACACATATATACACACACACGCATACATATACACATGCACACACACGTATACACGCATACACACACAGAGAATTTAAAAAATATATTTCTGTATATCAAGAATGATTAAGGCATCAAGGCGGTCAGGGTCACCTAAATTCTCACTTCTTAGTGTGCAGGACTTTAGGTGTACTATCCAGGAAACAACTGTCTCTCCGGGCGCTAATGTTTTGAGAAAGGGTCTGGGCACAGCAGTTGTCTTACACAGGGCGTCATACCGCCAGGCTGTGTGTACACGCTCCATGGAGCTGAGACTGACTTTGAATTCCTGCTCTGCCTGCTCTACCACGTTCAGCTCAGCATGACCTCAATCTATAACTGCAGTTATATCTTTGTTTTCTAAATATTTTTTATGTGTATGAGTGTTTTGTCTGCATGTGTATCTGTGTACCATGTGCATGCCTGGAGCCCTAGGGGGCCAGAAGTGGAAGTTGTATCCTTCTGAGATGGGAGTTACAGGCAGTTGTGAGTCATTGTGTGGGTGCTGGGAATTGAACCTGGGTGCTCTGAAAGAGCAGGAAGCGTGCAAGTGTTAACTATTGAGCCACCTGTCCAGCCCCAGTTTAAATATATATATTTTGGAAACTGTTTTTCTGTGTAGTTTTGGAGCCTGTCCTGGAACTCACTGTGTAGACCAGGCTGGCCTTGAACTTACAGAGATGCACCTGCCTCTGCCTCCTAAGTGGAGTGCTGAGATTAAAGGTGTGTGCCACCACTGCCCAGCTAATTTTTATATAATTACTATCAGGTAAGATTGCTGGGGGGCTTAACAAGATGTATCCATAACAAAAAGACACATCAGATTCGAATAATAAAGCTTCAAGAATGTTGTAATAGCAGTGGTGGCATATGCCATTAATCCCAGCACTCGGGAGGCAGAGGCAGGCGGATCTCTGTGAGTTCGAAGCCAGCCTGATCTACAGAGCGAGTTCCAGAACAGCTCCAAAGCTACAGAGAAACCCTGTCTGAAAAAAAAAAAATTTTTAACAGGTTGAATAGAGGTAACGGGGCAGGCTCACCATTTCTTAAATACTCTAGAAAGTGCTATGTATACTGAGGTTTTAAGGCTTCCCGGATGGGTTCCAGGAGAGACCTCTTCAGTGGACTTGGCTGATACTGGCTGGCCTGTGCACACCCTTCCCTCTTCTCCCTCAACATGTCACTGATGAATACTCCAGTCACACTGAGGTGCGGTCAAGGGCGCTCCAGCCACAGTGTTGGTATGAACTGAGAGTCTGACTGAGATTTATTTTGTGGGCCTCAGGTCAAGCCCACCTTTGTAGTTGCCAGGCAATCATCTACCACCAACTTACACCCCCAATTCTCTCAGGAGAAGCTTATTTTCAGTCCTGTGCCACAAGGACCAGGGTCAGTTTGGAGCTCGGTCGTGAAGAACACAGTTCCTAGTGTGAGTTTCTAGATTCAATTCCCAACACCAACAACAAACAAAACCCCCCAAAACGAGCTTCTGTGGCAGTGGGCTCCACAATCTCAGCACTCGGAAGAGGAGGGAAGGGGCGGAGCACAGGAGGCCTCCGGCACAGAGCAAGTTCAAGACAAACCACTGGAACACACAGCCGCAGCTGGCTCCCGAATGGCGACAGGTAGTCTCAGGCTGCCCTTTGTCTTCAGCACCTTTACGTCACCCACAGTGAGGGTTCCCAAAGATGCAAAGCCCATGCAAAACTAGGCTGGGAAAACCAGGAAAACCAAGGTATCCCTTGTTCAGAGTTCGTATTTGCCATTGTCTCTCGGAAGCTTAACTGAGATGTTTTGAGGATATGGAAACGAACTTGCTAAGGCTTAAACTGGAGAACAATAAGGAAGCCGTGGGGAAGGGAAAGCATCTCAGTCCACAGAGGCTGAGCCCCGCTGCAGCTGAAGACCTACCCTCCTTGAGATGCATCTGTCTGTCTTTCACCAGCCCGTGGGAACCCACGCCCGCCCCGGGACAAGTTGTTTCCGCAGGGTCTATGCCCTGGGACGCGGGCTCCATGAGCTCTGAGAGGACTTGATCTTCCACAGGCGCCTCAGTGCTGCCCTTTCTATTCTTCTATAAATTCACCTCAGTAAGGCTATCCCGAGCCAACTTCCTGTGCTTGCAACCCACGGAACCAAGATAGCAAGGAATACAGCCACCTACCTAATGCATGCCAAGCGGGTGGGTAGGCCTGTGGTTGATCCAAGACACCACCACTACTGCCTTTCCCAAGGAATACACTCCTCACCAAGTGCATAAGACCATGGTCCATCTGAGAGTTTGAAAATTCCAAGCTGTACTTCACCCGCTTAGCCACAAAAATCCCATTTTGTAAAATATTTTTTAAATTGTGTGTCTGTGTGTGCAAGCATGTGCTATGGCATGCGTGTGAAGGTCTGTGGACGACTTGCAGAAGTTAGTTCTCTCCTTCCACCATGTGGGTTCTGAGGCGCAGACTCAGGTTATCAGGCTTCTTAGAAGGCACCTACTGACTCCTCCTGTCAGTCCAACACCTTTTGTTCTGTGGGTGCTGGGATCTGAACTCAGGCTGTCATGTTTGGGCAGTGACTGCTCTTATCCACTGAGACCCTTTCCCAGTGAAGGAAATCAGGTTAGCACACTGCCCTGTTCTAAGATCTGTAGAATAAACCAAAGTGCCATCCAGCACTATGCCCAATGCAAGATGTCAGAAAATACATTAATATTATGAACTCAAACCCTATCAAAAAGTGGCATGCCAGGCAGTGGTGGCGCACGCCTTTATTCCCAGCACTCGGGAGGCAGAGGCAGGCGGATCTCTGTGAGTTCGAGGTCAGCCTGGTCTACAAGAGGGAGTTCCAGGACAGGAACCAAAAAGCTACAGAGAAACCCCGTCTCGAAAAAAAAAAAAAAAAAAAAGTGGCATAAGCCAGGCATGGTGGTATACACTTGTAATCCTAGTATTCAGGGGTTGGGAAGGAGGATCATAAGTTTGAGGCCAGACAGTAAGATGAGGTCTCAAGCAAAACCCCTGAAACGCAAAGTGCCTTACCTGCGGTTCTTCAGCAGTGGGGCAGCCTGGGTCCAGCCAGCATTCTCCAGCTGTATTGGGAAACCAATAGGATTCTTCCACCAACACGTAACCGCTGCAAAAGGAACACACTCACCTCCTGCAGCTCTGCTCTCACACCTCCTCCACAGAAATCACTCAATCTAGGCTGCCGTCAGTTTAGATTTCATGCAAGAGTTTATTAAGCAATGAAATTAAGTCAGGCGGTGGTGGCGCACACATTTAATCCCAGCACTCTGAGGCAGAGGTAGGTGGATCTCTGTGAGTTCGAGGCCAGCCTGCACTACAGAGCAAATTCCAGGACAGGCTCCAAAGCTACACAAAACCCTGTCTCAAAAAAAAAAAAAAAGTAATTAAGTTAAGCAACTTTAACTCTCCATCACCTCCCTTCTGCTTTATAAGCATTTCTTCCCATCAAATGTGGGTGGGAGAGGGAGGCAGTACCGTCCTCTGTTCAGTTAGTTATTCTGCAGAATTCACCACGTGTGGTCTCAACCCTGAGTCCTAATCAGGGCAATTTGTTCAGCGAGCAATGGGGCTACCCTGAGAGCATTTTATGACAGTTGCCATCTCCTGAGTTCACCGGTCACATCTGTCACTGTGGTTACACGCAAGCCGTCAGTGGTTGTCAAAGGAAGACAGAGCAAAGGCTGTTGAGGGAGTAACCTCTGGAGGGACGGGGGTGGGGGTGGGGGGGTGGGAGGGGGTGGGGGGGGTGTCAGGGGTAGACTCACACAGATGCTCAGTGTGTTAAAGTGCTCACTGTGTAGCCCCGACTGGCTTGGAACTTGTTATGGCTGGTCTGGAGCTCACAGAGATCTGCGGCCCCTGCCTCACGCGTGTTGGGATTACAGGTGTGTGCAACCACACCTGCTGCGTGTTCAAGTACATTTTTAGAAGGACTTTGGGGGAGGTGTCTACTCAGGTGAAAAAGCAAAGTACAATCTAGAAAGAAACAGCAGGAAGAAGTATAGAAACAGAACACTGCCAACAGTGTGTGTGGGGGGGGGGATGCTTGGGGCTTAGTCTGACAATTACTTGCGCTCTGAATCAAATACATTCCTAGTCGGAGAGCAGCTCCCTTACCTCCTGGTGAAGAGGAAGTAAAGTTACTAGGTCATTTTGTTCCAACTCTTCGCTCACCAACCTAATCTAAGTCAATGGTTTCCTCACTGGCTACCAATACAAAAGAGGCCCTTTAGGGTGAGTGGTCAAAAATATGACTTTCCTACAGTCTGTTCAACAAACAGCTGGACTGAGAAACCTGAGCTTCCGAGTACACCAGGGTGAGGCCCTTCCCAAGAGCAAGGGGTTCACAAGCTATATAACCTCCTGGACTATGCAATCGAGGACCAAGGTGGTGACGTTGGGTGAGAGCCCAGCAGCAGTGGCTACTTCTCCTACAAGTCAGTACAGAGCGCCAGCTGTCATTTGTAAGTCCAGTGGGCAGTGCCCGAACCCTGCCCTTTGCACAAGTCCCGGTGGCGAAGGTAAAAGGCGTGGACACGAAAGCGACGGCCGCAGTGGGGACAGGCATCCAGAGCTTTGGCGTGGGTCCTCATGTGCTCTGTGAGGTGGTGCTTCAACTTAAAGCGTTTATTACAGATGCCGCAGCCAAAGGGCCGAAGGCTGAAGGTCAGCATGATGTGCCGGTCTCGTTTGGGCTTCACCGCGAAGCGCTTTCCACACAAACAAGCAAAGCACTTCCCATCTGCAGGCGGCGTCCCTCCCAGCTTCACAGGCCCATGCATAGCTTGTCCCGATCCTCCGGGCCCTCCGGACATGATTTCATTCCCATGAAGGTCCACTGGTTTCCAGGACGGGTCTCCTGACCCGGATGTTTCTCCTCCTCCTGAGGACAGCAAGTATCTTAGCTCTCCCTTTCCCTCAGAGTCTGCTTCAGAAAGAGTTCTGGTCCTCTCCTTCGCTCCTTGAGGCACAGTCCTACTTCCTGATGTCTTCTCCACAGACATAAGGGGGTCCAGATTAGCCTCTATGACATGGGAAGCCTGTACAGGAGGGGCAGGAAACTCAAGGGTTGAACTCTGGTCCTCCGGAGACATGCTGGGGAAAGCAGACGCAGGCAGGGGGTGGGATCCACAAGCTGGGGGAAACTCTTCGGGTAGTCTCTGAGGTTGAGTCTGGAAGAGGTGGGCTGCCGACCCCTGCTCCTCCTCCTCCTCCTTCACCTGAATCTGTAGCACTTGTTCCAGCTCACTCTTCTCCCCTCCAACGAGGTTCTCGGCGAAGGCAGAGTTCTCTGTGGAAGCGGAGGACTGCGCTGGGTTCTGGAAAGAGGAGGAGCGAATGCACCAGCCTCCTGAAGGGGTTGTGGAAAGCAGTGTGTGGCAGGCGGCTCCTCCGCCGCCTGAATTTCCACCGCCTGATGTTTCCAGTTCTCGAAGAATCTCTGAGCACTGATCCACGACTTGCCACATTTGCAGGCCACTGGCTACAAGGAGGTGGGCAGGGAGAGCATCCAGTGGCAGGCGGAGGCGCCCTGAATAGATGAGCTGAAGCAGTCCCTCGAAAGCATCTGCCTCAATGACACTGGGTAAGGTGAGTCGGGGCGCATTCCCCAAAAGCAGCTTGTCATGGAAGTAAGGAGAGGCGGCAGCCAGCACTGCTTTGTGAGCCCTAATTTCCCTGCCCTGAACCAGGAGGGACACATCACAGAACTTCCCCTCCAGCCTGTGGCGGTTCAGGGATTCTAGCAGCGAAGAGCTATGGTGAGGGAACTCGATGTGGATTGTCCGTGAGGTTAGGCTGCAACTCGGAGAAGTGGGTGTGGGAGGCTGAGTCGAAGCATCCATGGCCAGCTCGGGAAAGACAAATCCCAGGGAGTCGGGAAGAGCAGGGCTCTAACGACGGCTGCGGAGGCAAGAGACCGGACAGCCCCGGGACAGGAGACCTGTCTCAAGCTGCACCCCACAGACGCCTGAAAGTCCTCCCGTGACAGTTTCTGTCCATTAGTCCCGCCGACCGAGAACACCGACAGAACACCCACCAACCAGGGTGTTTATCCCAGGCCCTGCGGAAGCCGAGGAGGGGACTGCGCCCCGCTCGCCGGCTCGGGCCGCCCTCGGCTGCCGCTCGCCCCGCCTCACCGTGCTCCCACGGGCCGGTTCCGCGAGCTCCCGCCACGCGCAGGACGACCGGCACGCCCCCACTGCACGGGAGACCGTCTCGGAACTCGGCTGCGTCCACGGCGTCTGGTCGGCCGGAAGCGACCGCCGCTCCGCCGGACGCCGGGGCTGCTCAGCGCGCAGGGCGGGGCCGGGTCTGCAGCCAATGGGAGGACGGAAGCCTACAAGCCTCCTTCTTATTGGCTGTGCGGCCAGAGGAGGCGGGGCCAGGAGCCGGCGGGCTGCCCGAGCGTCGTCGGAAGAGCGTCGGAGGTGGAGGGCGCCGGTCCGCGGAGAGGGGCGAGACGGGCTCAGCAGCGCGGGGTGGATCTTCCCTCCCGCCGCGCGAGGTAGTTGCTGCCGTCCCCGGTGTGCACGCGGGGCAGCCAGATCGGAAGTCTGGAGCGTCCCCGCGCAGAGCACCCTGATCCTTTCCTCCATTTCGCAGAGGCGCGTCTTAGCGGTTAAACCCTGCGTGGAGAGTTGGGGAGACTGTTTTTGTCACTTGGGCCCTTTCGGAGCCTCAGCGGCGAGTGGCGAGCAGGAGTGGGGGTTCGGCCAGGTCGACGCTGTGGTGTAGATTGTTCTCCTGACTGGGTGGGACAGTGTAGCACTGCTTGCAGGCTGGCCAGCTTTCTCTCCAAAAGTAATTCCTGTCACCCCCTCCAGGGGACTTCAGTGCTGGGCCAGGTGGCATACGCCTTTAGTCCCAGCACTCGAGAGGCAGGGCGATCTCTGAGTTCGAGACCAGCCTGGTCTACAGCGCGAGTTCCAGGACAGCCAGGAAAACTCTGTCTCGAAAAACCAACTAATAAATAAAGGTCGGCCAAGCAATAAAAGAACAATCTCCGTTTATTAAACATGATTTTTCTGTTTCACCACACACTCCAGAAAAAAAGGAAATGGGAGTGGGAAAAAAAGGGGGTGTGGTAGGGCTGGGAGTAGGGGAGGTAAGGAGAACGAGTAAACAAACAAAAACGAGTAAGAAGAGCGGCTCCCTACTCTTAAGGTGGTGGGTGGGGAGAGAAGTGAGGGGCGGGCTAGGGAGCCAGGAAGCTCTGTACAGAGGGGTAGCCTCCCAGTCCCCACCCCGGTTATGTACAGTACAAACCCCAGATAATTACAACAGCCAAAGAGAAGGAAGGAGGTAAGAGGGTAGGGCCTGAAGTGGGGTAAGCAGAGGAAAGGGTGCGGGATAAAATTTCACATATTTACAACTTTTATATAAGTATAAATTTGGCCCCGGCTGGGTGGATGTGTAGAGGGTAAGACTGAAGGAGAGCTGTCCATACAAAAGGTTGAGTCTGGAGTCTGGGAGGAATTCTCAATACCAAACGCAAGAAGGAGTGAGGAGACAAGTCTGGGCAGGGGTCAGCAGTCAGAGAAGAGGGGGGTACCCAGCAGGGATTTCTCCCCTTCCATGGCCTACCCACCCCAAACCCCATCCATCCTACCTCCCCTATCCCGCCAGAGAGCTATGTACAGAGAAACACCGAAAAATCGTGGAGCTGGCGGGAGGGAGGGAGACTGGGTGAGGGGGGAGGGTGAGAGGGAAACCCAGCCCTGTCCTACCTCCCCAGGGGACAGAGTCATGGAAGGGGGCCCCCAAACACCCATCCTCCAACACAGGTCCCCCACCCTGGGGGAGAGAGACATGGCTTTTCCTAGAGTAAATTCCCCCCTCCCCATGGGAGTAGAGACAAAGAGGGAAAGGGTAGGGGCTGGCTGTGTGTCAGGGTAGGGCAGATCAGCTGGTCTGTCCTCCACAACCCAACACACAGGCCCCTAAACCCTAACCCTTCATCCGAACCTCAGTTCCACCCCACCCAACACACTGGGGGAGGGGAGGGCATAAGCCCCCTCACCCCGCTCTGGGACCAGCCAAGAGCAGATCAGGTGTGGGAAGAAGGGGAGGCAACTCCCATTCCCCCCTTGCCGCCCCCTCCCTGCCCCGGTGGCCCCCTCCACCCCATCTGGGTTCTGGGTGGGGAGAGTAAATGTAAAGAGTGGAAAGAGGAGAAGTTTGTGCGTGCTGAGCCCCCCCAGACGCTCCTGAGAAATCAAGGGGTAATAGGGCCCCCTCACCTGGGGTCCCCTCCCCATTACAAGGGGGACAGGGGAGGCCAAAATGGGGTGGTGGAGGGGAGTTAGATTGTCAGCTCTGGTTACTGCTAAAAAAATCACCCTGAAGTTGAAAGTTTGGAGGTGCCACACCCCCAGTGTGGGGGTGAGGGTCTGTCCCCCAGTGCTCAGGGGAACTATGAGGCAGAGGGTGGGGATAGCACCCCGGAGTGAAGGGGTTGGTGGGGTGAAGGTCCCTGGGGGTGAAAGAGGGCAGCTAAGGGTCCCACTCTCCCTCCTAGAAACGGTGCAGTGGAGGTGGCGGATGGGTGCCTCAAGGAGGCATTAAGGGAGGCATTCCTGCTGTCCCTCGGTGACGTCCAGTCCTGGTGGTTGGTGATGTTCCGGGGTGGGGTGCACAAGGAAGGAGGTCTGTGATGCTGGGTGGGCTAGTGGTCTGCGGTGTTTCGGAACTCGCCGTTCTCTGTGATCTGCAGCCGGGGTGGGGGTGGTGGGGCTGGGGGGGCCAGACCATTCCAAGGTGGGGCCAGCGTCACACGCGGGTTTGTTGGACCCAAGGGGGGAAGCTGCCTCTCCTGCAAGACACCAAAGAGGAGAGCGCGGACTTATTGAGACGCTTCGCAGGGGCAAGGATGCCAGCCCCAAGCAGTGCTCTTCACCCAAGGCCAGCGCTCCACAGCCATTCCACCTCCCTCCTGTTTTGTTTGTACCTCCAGGAGTCCTGGGGGATCTGGGAGAGAGCTCACACCAGAAAACCAGCTCAAAAGCAACTAGCTTTCACCTTCCCTCTGACAGAACTTCTGCTTCAAGAACTGTGTTTCCTCCCCCAGCCCCCTCCATCCCATGCAGGAACTTCAGCGCTGAGGATCCAGAGAAGGCAGTACAGTAAAACCTCATTAGTCCAAACCCCTACAGATGTGCAAGTTTGCTCATAATTTGAACAAAACCAGGGCTTGAGTTTTCCTTTATCTGAGAAGAATGAGCTGAGCAGTCCTGGGAATGTGTCTGTGGGCAGGGCCCTGGCTACACAGCTTCAGCTGTGCTCCCTGAGGGCCTGCGCAGGGCCTTGTTTAGAGTTCTACTTACTGTGTTCTGAAGACAGGCACTTCACTAAACAGACAACTGTCACTCAGTTCTGCCAGCTACTGAGAGTGGACCTCTCAAACAGAGCATCCCAAATTAGAGCGGGCTCAGGGAAGTGGTGTGGAGGGACAGCTTGTCGGGAGCTCCTCTCACGCCGGTAGGAATGACCCAAAGGTTTAGAGCAGTGGTTCTCAGCCTTCCTAACACTGTACACTTTAGTACAGTTCCTTATGGTGTGGTGGCCCCCAACCATAAAATTACTAATGTTGCTACTTCATAACTAATTTTGCTGTTATGAATTATAAATATCTCATGTATGACCCCTGTGAAGGGGTCATGTGGGGTCACGCTCCACAGGTGGAGAACCCCTGGTTTAGAGAAGTCACATAGCAGCTCCCCTCCTTCCCACCCTCCTTCCTTTCCAGCTTGAGCAGCAGACCCTGTGCCACCCCTGTACTTATTTTCAGAACATTCGGTGGCTCTGAGACCCATTTCCTGGTTCCTGCCCTCAACCCACCCTTCTGTGCCTCTGCTGGGAGAAGAGCACCTGGGTCTCCGAACTCCTGAATACTTAGTTGGCTTTTAAAAATCTATCTAGCTGGGCTGCAGTGGGACCAAAGCCTACAGATGGTTTGGAACAGATCCACAGATCACTGTCTGCCACAGACATTAGGTAGGGCAGCGTGGAGCTACCTGTGTCTGACCCTGTCTCCAAAGGACACAGGAAATGAAGGCTTCCAAGGTCAGCTTTCCTTTATACCAGAACCAAAGACTCACCTGGTCAGGACCACTCAGAATATAACCTTAGTCAAAGCTGCGCTCATGGCTATCGGGGATCTCCCCGGCAAGCAGTGAGAGGAGAACAGGGAAGGAACCCTCAGATGCCTCCACTCTGCTTGTCTGCTCATGACGACACATGGGCATGCCCCCTACGCCCCCATGGACCCACATTTAGAAACTGGATAAATTAGGATGCCATTATTCATTTTACAAAAGAATTCACTGCTGGAGTCCTTTAAATGGTGAGGTTCCCTGGTGTCTTTCAGTGTCTACAGATCACTAACTACTTTGACAGAGAGGCTGGGCACTCGGAGAGTTAAATTATAGTGTGAGGAGCCACTGCCCACCACAAATGAGTCCCACAGGAATGTGTCTCAGGACTGAGGTGTGCCTGATAGCTTCCCACTTACTGGCTTTTCAGTGTCCTAAAGGCTACTAGGCCGCAGGAGAGGGGAAATGAGTGGCATTAGCAACTCAGGAACTTAAGCTCTGACAAGAGAGGTTCTTTAACATGCTGTTCCTAGTGTCCCTGCCTGGACTACAAATGGCTACTGAGCCCTTGAATACATTCTAGGAAGCTGTTTCTCCTCACTTCTGTAACAGGCCACATCTGTCCCGGACTCCTGCCTGTTTATGCCATCCACCTTATTGACATGTCAGGACATCTCAGCAGCATCTCCCAGGGTCCCTTAGTGTCTTCCCAAATTAACTACCTGCTCCCATTCTGCCTTCTGCCTCACAGTGCAGGGAGAGAGCAAAGGGAGAGAGGGGAGGGGTAGGAATCAGGAAAGAATGAGCAGACCCCACCTACCTGATGGAGTCAGCACAGCCCCCTAGCCTGGCCCCAACCCAATATCCCTCCACCCTGTTATACCCACACCAACAGCCCAACTCCCAAGGACGCTCTGGTGAAATGAGGGGTGACAGACAGACACTGGATAGGTAGAGGAAAGGGAGGATGGTGTCAGGAGGTGGCTTGTGGGGCCAGTGTGGAGAGAACAGGGAACCTGTAAATGTGCTCGGTCTTGGTAAGGGTCGAATTTGGATTGCTAAGGCGTCAAAGGGTGTGGGGGTGTCTACAGGTGCACTCTGGCTGTACCTTGGGAAGGGGTCTGTCTGTGCAGGAAGTGTCAGGAGGGTGGGGTCTGTGGAGGGTCTCTG